GCGGCGGATCGCCTCCGTGTAGTGTTTCACCGCTGTACTGTAGTCACCTGGTGATTACAATGTTCACGGATTGCAATCTGGGTTTCCAAACTTTAACAGCTCAGGGATTCAATACTATTTTAGACTCTATGGAATCGCAATGTTTTAGGACTTGTGATATCCCATATGATTTTAGGAACTACGAGAACCCTCATAGTTTTAGGACTTTTGGGGAAATTAATAACAATAACTTATGAATATAGAAAGCATTTGTTCACATTAACATGTTTTGGTACTATGTTCCATGAAACAACATTATGTAAACTATAAAACAATTCAAACCATCCTTTTTCATTTGTTATAATAGTTTAATATTGAAAATTCAGTTTATGTTTAAAATTAGAAAGGCTATGAAACAAGGAATACTTACTTCTTACTTTCTTACTTATATTATAAGTGCAAAAGATTAGATGGATAGATGGATATTTGTTAGAGTATGTAGTAAACAGCTGAACAGATCTTGATGAAATTTGGCATAGATGTAGAGGATAATCTATTAACTTTGTTTTTTTTAATTCCACGGGGATGGAGTCGGGTAAGCTAGTGTATTTATAAATGTTTCACAAGAATAACCACAGTACAGGAAATGATTGATAAATGGGCAATAATTTTTTTAAATTACACTTTTCCATAATTAAATGAATGTGAACATTTTATTATTTGAGACAAAGTTCTATAGACATATTTAAAAAAACTTTAACAGAATTTATTAAAAAATTTCACATACCTTTCTTAAAGTATTCATTTCCAAGTTCCTTTTCTTGTTCAGATTTCACTGGGTCGATATAAGCTTTCTTCTCTTCTTCAACAATGCGGCGTTCCACCTCACTTAACAATGTTTTTATCTCCGGAGTCCTGTGCTCAGACATTGACTTCTCATAGTATGTCTTTGCTAACTTCCATTGCTCCATTTTCTTATATGCATTACCTTGAAGTTACGAAATATGACGAAATCACAAAAAAAATTACCATGTTTGGTGATGCCAAGAAACTTATTTTATTGAAATAGATATTTTAAAATGATATTGAAAATTAAAGACACAGGAAGTAAATTTAAATTCAATTTAAAACACATTATACATGTCATTTTATTAAGAAGTTTCATCATCATCATCACCAGCTCACTATACGTCCCCACCGAGGGCCGGGAGCCTACTCTAATACAGGGTGACTAGGCCATAGTCAATTAAGAAATTTAACCAACTTAAAATAATGTGAAAGCTTTGATAAAATAAAACTTTCTATGTATCTCTAAAATGGACAAACATATCCCTATGTAATTTGGCATAGATGTAGGATATAGAACACACAGGCTACTATGTTTTTTTGCGCAGATGAAGTCAAGGGTTTAAGTTAGTTATAAATGTTGAGAATATTTTTAAGTATAAATTAAATTCTGCAATTCTATTGTTAAAAAATACTTACCAATTCTAGTGAAAGCCTTAGCTATTAATTTGAAGTCAGCCCTATTTTCTCTACCAATATCAATTGCCTTCTCACATTCTTTAATGCAATTCTCATACTCTTTCAATTCAAAATAAACCGCAGCCATGTTGGTGTAGAATGTTATATCTGTGGAATCATGTTCAATAGCTTTCTGGTAATGTTTGATTGCATTATCAAAGTCCTTTTTCTTATAACAGTCATTTCCTAAATCTTTCTCTTGTAATGCTAGTCTACGGTTCTCTGGAACATCTTCATATTTAGGCTTCGGAGGCTCTTCTTTCTTAGGCGGTGGGGTGGACTTTGTCTCTGATGCTGGAGGATCTACATCCATACTCATATCTAGACCTAACATTACGCTAATTGTTGTTAAAACACGCTGATCATCCATTTTTCCTTCTAAAACTCTCGAGTCAAATGGATTTAGTGCTAATTTCTGGAAAAATGCAATTGATAAAAGTTCTGTAATACCTAGTTAGAATTGAGTATAATTTTAATATAGACTAAAGCATTTTGATTTTTTAAGAAATCTAAGAGTCTAAACATATAATGGTAACCATATAAGTAATTCACAGCTATAAAAATTATGCCTAAATGATCAGTGAAGTTTTTAGAGAGATTATTTCAAAAACATCAGTAAGACTTACATGAACCATTCGTACATAATCAGGGTCCTTCAACCACTCTCGTGTCTGAGGGTTAGCCTTTAATTTATCAAATAATTTTGCAGTTTCCAATTTACTTGACTCCGCCTGCTTCCTAACTTCAGCTAGACCTGTTGCTAACTGCTGGTTGCCAGGCTCTAGTTCCAATCCCTTCTCGTAAGCCGCGATTGCTTCCTCAAATCTACCCAAATATGCTAATGCACTGCCTTTTCTCGAATATCCCTTACTCCAAGTCGGATTCAAGGACACTGTCTTATTCGCATCTTCCAGAGCGGCAACATAGTTTTCTGCTTTGGCGTGAGCTGCTGACCTATTACTAAATAGAACATGGTTGCTTGGATCCAATTTTATTGCTTCGGTGTAATGTCTTACAGCAAGATCGAATTCACCAGACGCTAAAGCGGCGTTCCCCTTTTCCTTTAATTGGTTAACCTAAAAATTATACCGATAGAAGATTAATATCTTTTAATACAACATTTACCGCATTCAAATAACACCGCGGTTCGGCATAACCTCCTACCTGTTCCATGATTGTGCACTAAAGTTATTATTACAAAAATTAAAACTTCTTATCACACTAATTGCTTAATCACTTGGAAACACAAGTTATTCTCTTTGTTCGCAACGCTAACAATGATTCGAGCTTCCGAAATGTAGAAATACAAATGAATATGAATGAGCGACACTGACACTTAAAATTCGAGAAAATTCTTGTATCTCGTTCTGGTAAAATAACTGAACTCTATCTTGAGATAGGTCACTGCATAAAAAAACCAAAAGTTCATTCGTTCCAATTTAAACGGGCCAGACTGACTGACTGACAGACTGTTGACGTTAGTGACAGTTAATTCCTTCTATATTATTAGTTCGAATTCTCACCACTCTTACAAACCGCCACAGTCAGCGCCAAAATGGCAAAAATCAAATAGGCACAAAATACCACGGCAAAAAGCCTACTTCTTTTCATAGAGTTCTGCACTTAAAATATGTTTATAACGTTCCGTTTATGGATTTGCTATGCAGAAATTAAAAGCAATCTATTTTGATTTTTTTCCTTAATCTTATGCTAGTAGTTACCGTTAAATAAGTGTAATTATTATAGTGATTGCGTATTTAGTTTGTAAATTTATTTTTGTGAAGAATGAGGTATTTTTTTCTCTTTTCACTGAATCAGATGTCAGAACCGGATTCAGTAAAAAAGAAATTGGGCTGTACGATAACCAAAACATTTTACTGTATAATCTATAATTTTTCAATGTACAGATAAGATAAAAACATGAAGTTATTAACGCGGCTTTAGTTTTTCTCTATCTGTCATACTCTAGTGTCACGCTAATCGCTATTTTGTGTGTTCGTGATTGTAATTGGATCCTGGATATTGTGGGGAATACCAAGTGAGCTAATCGATGGCCGATTAAGTGTTTCAACGCTACAGAAATTGGCGGGTTCCCTTGGTCGTGGTGACTCATCAAAGTTCCCGGACGGTTTTTCACTATGGAGACTGACGATGGTGAATCCTCTAGCAGTGGTCCTATGTCGAGCCTGAATAGCCTATTCTCCTTCACGAGCCCCGCTGTGAAGAAGCTTCTTGGCTGGAAACAGGTAAGATGTCTAATGAGGCGTGTATCTACCACTTTTGGTTATCATTACTTGCTTCTATAGAGCAATGTTATTCTATTTCTATTCGTCTAATTTATTCCCCTTGCAAACTGTTGTTTTAACAAACATTCATACAGCTATTTTCTTTATGATGCAATATGAAAGGGAAAACGGAAATAAGTGATGTTTGTTGAAACCAAATACAAAAATTTTGTAAACTCGATTTTATTATATTAAGTAATATAGCATATTATAAATGGAACATGAAATCATTAATGTAGTGATCTCAAAGTACATTCGTGAATTATTTTAAACTGAGGAATCATTACAGTATATCAGACATCAACATAAATGAGTATACTGTGATACTATTAACATATACTTTACATATAAATTAATAATGCATCTCTACTAGTAGCAGTAACTTAACTAGGCTTTTTCTCATTAGTACTATTAACTTGCCTTGTTTTATTGTTATGAATAAAACTCCCATCCATCTTACTTCTTACTTATATTACAAATGTAAAAAATTAGATGGATGGATGGATGGATATTTGTTAGAGTTTGTAGCCTAAATAGCTAAACGGATTTTAATGAAATTTGGCATACATGTAGAAGATAGTCTGGAAGAACACATAGGCTATTCACTGTTTTTTTTTTCATTTCATGTGGACAGAGTCGCGGGCGAAAGCTAGTAAACTGTAATTTTATTTAAAATATACTATTTTACACTATCTATTTGTGATTTATAAATTAAGTAAAAAGCTTAAAAGAATATTACATAGTTGTCAACTCTTAGTAAATGTGATTACCAAAGTTCTCGGAGCTATGTTGGAGATAACTAGGCCATATTCAATGCTGACCAGTGGGCCCATAGTGGAGAGTTGACTTAATATATTTGATTTGTGTACAGATTTACAGCTTGCATTTCCTTCAGGGTTCTTTTTGATTGACTTCCCAAAAGAAGGAAGTGCTCAATTCATCTGTATGTTTTTTTTTTAATCACACATTAATGTCAATTATTTTGAATTTAGAATTATTAGCTGCTAGTGTTGTCCTTGTGCAATAAAAACTTAATAAGTAGCTTCTGTGTTGTTCCAGACTATTTCCTATGCCTGTGATAAATTTCAGTGAAATGGAGTTATTCTTGAGATACATTATAACAAACATCCATCCATCTAAATGTTGGTATCTATAATAATAAGTTAAGAAGTATGATTTGTACCTGATCACCATAATCCTGCCCTCCTTTCAAAGTTTAACATAGTGTCATTTGATTTAAATTTAAACCTTGGCGGTGTTTCCAAACTAATGCAGCTCCTGCAAGAATTGAGCCTACCATTTCTACAAAGGTGGGCATCTCATCTAGTTCTTCTGGTGTAGCTGATGTCCATGGGTTGTTGATTATGAAGGTGCTCATGCTGAGCGTTTGCCCCTTTTAATATAATGAAAATGTGTTTCTTATTTGCACCTGCTGTATACAAAAATAAATGTACTATGAACAGGATGTTATTGCATTTGTTATGACTCACTCCTCAATTTCGATTATTCCAAGAATGATTGATTCATTCTTAGTTTATTTTTACACATGAATTTATTGGTTATGATGATTTATTAATCCTATTAATAGTGTTTTTTTATGTTTTAAAGAAATTTTATGTGATAAAGCAGCATTAAAATACTAAAATACTACACATGGATTGATTAACTTCTGTTTCTAAATAATTTTAAATTTTATTTTACTCATGTTTTCAGGGTGACGAGGAAGAAAAATGGGCAGAAAAAGCAGTGGATAGTCTGGTGAAGAAATTAAAGAAGAGAAAAG